ATGCCAGCTTTCGCGCATTCCCGAGAGAAGGGGGTGGACTGATGCGCGACTTAAGAAATAGAATAAGCACGTGAAATTTTATGGATTATTATAACCCATGAATGGCTGTTGTATTATTTCGTTTTATGAGGTTAGGATGTTTTTGTTAATAAAAATTCTTTGTACTGTTGAATGGAAAGGTAAAATTTGAAAGATCTGTAGCCGTTGAAACAGACGTGCAGGAATACTGGTTGATTTGTTTATTTAAACAAATGAACTTAGAAAAGTAATTATAAAAGAGAAGAGAATAAAGATAAACAAGTTAAATGCAAAAATATTCCCCCCAAAATTTTTTTTTGGATTAAAAACAATAAATATTTTTTATATTATTAATGTTCTATATCAGTTAGAACTGTTGAAATGCTTTTTTGAAATTATTGTTTTAAATTACTTGTACAGTAGCTGCTGCTTAATGTGATCACATTCTAGATATATTAACCAAATAATAGCATTAAGTGATGAGAAAAAATATACTTCAATATGGCAATGGAACTTATTTAATATAAATATATCTAGAAACATTTAAATTTAAACAAATTTAAGTTCTTAACAAATATGTATAAAAGTAAAAAAGCAGTATTTTCCTTTTTGAACTTTAATTCTTAAATGTTAATACTTAAGTGTTAATTTCTAAGGGTACCACTTTATTGGAATTACTTTTGGTTTTGACTTTTACCCTTGCCTGCATGAATGACGAAACACGAATTGAATGATTGGGGAGTTAGGTTTGGAGGCAACTTCCCCTTGATAAGTCTGTCTCCTGCCTACTCTACGATCATTCACATATGCATTTTTTAAAAAAAAAAATGTTTAATTTAATTTTAATTTATTAAATTAGTAGATTTATTTTCATGGATAGATTTTGCACTTGATTTGCTTATGCTTCTGAATTTAAAATGATATTGTAGATTAGTTCCAGAATTAAATCTTTACATGTTTGCATATTTTTTAAATTATTTTGGCTTTTTTTTTCCTTTTTTTTAGAATTTAAATTTGCTTTTTCACTTTTTACTTTTATACGTATTTGTTAAGAATTTAAATTTGTTTTAAATTTAAATTTCATTTCTTGCAGCAATGACGCAAAGAATATTTAATTAAATATGTATTTAAATTTAATTTTTTAATTAAACTCAATTTATTCTTAGAAACATTTAAATAAGGACTTCCACAGCATTTTAATTAGGAAAATGCATAAATTCATTTTTGAATCATTTCTAACATTCCTAAAAATTATTTAGCTTATGCTGTTCCCGTAATCTTAATGCTAAATGGCAGGGCTGTATTGAATCCTTTATAGGCCTTAAGCACTCTAAAGATTTTGGTGGGATAGTGGTTAGTGGTGCTGACTGCCGTACCGAAATGTCTGGGTTCAAATCCCAGCCACCCATTCTGAAACATCCAGGGCATGAATGTTTCTAAACGTATAGTGTCTGTGCGGCATGGGGACACTTTAAAAATGCAGCAAGCCGCAAGGTCTCGAGAGAGATTGCTGATAGGGAAAGAGGGAAGGGAAGACCCTTGGGCCCATTCCTTTGGGATCCTCTTCCTCAGAACTGAGTAAAGTCGTACTGTCACCTGTTTGGTGGTCAAGGCTCTTGCCAATGACATATGCAGTCTTGCACTCCTTGCTATTATGAATTTCCTGGCTTGTTCTTATATTACTGTCATACAAATGAGATAAGTAACAACAAGATTTTGGTGCCCTCACATGTTTTCAACAGTTTTGTCCTTTTTTCTTCTCTCTCTGTCTTGGCTTTGCTGTATCATACATTCTATGGTAAAACTGGCAATGAGAAATTTTTGTGGTGCCATGGTGCCATCTTTCCTTGAGTTTCAAGAACCTTTTTGTGATGCTCCTTTCCTTGATGCTCTAAGGCACAAGCATATTTTGCATAATAGTTAATCCAGCTAAGGTTGAAGGCCATTCGTCATTGGAAGAGAACATAGTAATATAAAAATGCAGCCTTAATTTGGCATAGGTGTTTTATGGTATTTTCCCCCCTTGAGGAGTTTTTTTGGCTCCTGAAAAATCGTCTTTGTCTGATTGCCCTCAAAATTAATGACAAAGTAGTTTGCTTTTTTAGCTTACCTTTGAATGGCTGACAAAATTGAAACCGAGCCGTTTAACGATATACTCCCTTACTTGGCAAATTTTTCTGTCTCTTAACAATTTTTATGATCTATTTAGCAGCTTTGCCTTATACTTGACTACTTTATTTCAATTTAAAGAACTTTATTATATAATAATTTGATTAAAGCTTCCCAGATGGTATAGTGGTTAGGGGAGCCTGACTGCAATACCAAAGGGCCCGGGTTTGAATCCCGGAGAAGGCATGGATGTAAAATTGTCTGTTCCTTCATAGGAGGTAACGGTGGCCGCCTATTAGGTGCCTCCACAATAAAATAGTCACTGCTTCGGGCCTTAGTAGTGGCCAATGTCGTTATAGGCAAGTGCCCGCCATTTGTGTAAAAAAAATGATTAAATTAACAGACTTGGTGATCATGATAAGCAATGTATTTTCCATGTTTTCATATAAAAATGGATGGGGCTTCGGCACTTAAATAATTCAGTCCAATCCATATCTTTTTTGCCCATCAGCAGTCGAGCAATAAAGTCGTTGAGTGCTGATTGTTCAACCTTAGTTCAATTTCAAGCAAATAGGCTGACTGGGTGGACCTTTTTGTGGTTTTTCCCGTTTGTAATGTGGATACTAGATAACTAAAATGTGTTTACAGGCCACATAAAATTGGTTCGGGGTCTGCCAGTTTGAGATCACTTCTTTTGTGTGTAACATCAGAGGCACAATATGGAGGTATTAGGCTGATTACAATATGATACTCATTGCACCACTTGTAACTAAATTAACTAATGAAGAAAAAGAAAGCAAAGTATTTTATTGTGCCTTAAGTGATGTCTAGAATTCAATCATATGCAACATGAATGTTGTGTACTCAGTTATAAATATTTCTGATAATATCGCTGGTGGGTTATGTTGAACCAATATTTAAATACAGTTATGTACGAACTGTATATTCAAAAGTATAATCGAACCAAAATTCAAAAGTCGTTAATCCTGACTCGTCGGGACTTCGGCAATTCCGGATTATAGATCATCAGTTTAAATCTGGTAAGATGGCATGCAGAAATTATAAAATAAAAAATATGAAACCATAATTTATGAAGTAAAGAGCAATTATGATCTAAAGGGTGTCAAAATTTACAAAAAAAAAGCTTAATATTTATTTGTTTACTTTATTAAGCGTTTCTTTCAACGCGTGCATGCGTAAAGCATACATTGCGCATAGTCGAAATTAGAAAATTGCAACCAAAATATTATTTGATGTGTACTCGTGATATTTATAATGATGAGGAATTTGATTTAAATCATATGAAAGACAGAATACGTTGAGATGAAATACTACATTTAGTAAGGAATTATAAGCTGAATAAAATAAAAACATCTACCCTGAAGATAAGGATAGTGCTGATAGATTAACTTCCAGTTCATTGCATACCGCGACGTCCCCCCCCCCCCCGTGCAGAGCAGCATGAAATTCATAAACAGATTTCGGAATGGTTAGAGAAACAAAGGAGCCTTTATCCATTTTTTGCAGCATTTCCACTTTTTGTTTGATGGACATCGAAACATGCTTTCCCTTTGCTCCAGCATCGGAAATTCTATTTGACATAATCGAAAGTTCCAACTTACTTTTATAAATTTGCTCTAACAGTCTGCAAAAAATAATAAGCCGGATCCAATTCGAAGATTAAGGAACAATGCAATCTGCAACATTAACTTAAATAGATAATTAGATAATTTTAGCGAAGCTTATACCGTCCGTTATACATTAAATGCGCATGCGTAAACGTATTATGCGCATGCATAAAGGTATTACGCGCATGCGTCAGCCTGGTGCATGCGGAGAAAGTTTGTAGCTTTGAGGTCTGTATTATGGGTGCCCGGGGTAACTACTTTTGACTGTATTTATAAGCAGAATGTTAGTGTAGTTGTTTTACAACTAGCCTGAAATTTCAGCCTATCTTACGAATAGCCTGAAATTGGAATATTTGTAATTTTGTATGGTTAGTAATATATAATTCTGAGTACTTAACTGAAAGAATTCGGTTTTAAAAGCTAGTTTTGGGTACTTTTCCATTCACTGGTGCAAATCTTGCCAAGCAATCTTTATTGGTGACAACATTCAGTATACACATAAAAAATGGTAACAAATGTTAGTTCTAAGATTTTTTTTATTTTGAAAGCATAAGCATTTTAATATTGTTTAAAATTTTCTAAAAAGCGAATAAATAAGGACAATAAATTTGTAGAAAGACATTAAGACTTTACTGTGCTTTCATGGTTCAACATCCTGATTCTCTGGTTCATATCACGTAACCCCAACTCGTGTAAACTACGCAACAAAAATCCAATTCTCTCAGTAATTATCTACATTAGTTTCAAGTTAAACCTTAATTTGGAATACAAGTTTAAATGCAAAAATTATTTCAATTCGTACAAATAGCTTACTCAGAAATTATGTAAAACCGCAGTGCTTTGCTTTGTTAGTGATTCTCATTGGAATTGATTGATTTTGCCTTCTTTTCTATATTTTCAGGTGAGTGGTGTGATTGCATCCTAATTGACTTAATTACCGCGAATGGCCTTAGGATGTAAAATTGAACTATATGTTAAAAATTCTATGTAATTGTATGCCAGTATTAAAAGAAACAATCAATCTGGTAAGAAATGACTGTGACTTGTTTTGAAAATGAGGCGTAAAAGGTTACCAGCGAGGGTATTCTGTTTTGGCATCAGTTGTACCATTATTGGCGACTTTATCGCTTGTGGTGGCAAAACGGAAAAGTGCCTTGTTTTTAATTTTTTGCATTTTGGTATTTTTTAATTTAAAAGTTATCTGAATGTAAAAGAGTTTTAAAATGTTTTTCTTTTATTTTGCAGGCATTGATTTCAAAATTAAAACCTTAGATATTAAAGGAAAGAAAATAAAACTCCAAATATGGTGAGTAATTTATATTGCATAATTCTTTAAAAAATACTTCTATTGTTGATGGTATTCTTGAGGAATTGATTAAAATTATTATGGATTGTCTTTAAATGCCAGAATTTTAAGTTTCATATTACTGTCTGAAACAGATTGATTATCTGTTTATTTCAGATGGTTAAGATTCTTATATGAATCTTTTTCCACTTTTTGTGTAATTATTGCTGTTTTTTTTATATAGGCACTAACACTGATTTTTCAGCTCCTGGCCACCTGTATGTTTATAATGTTTTCAATCCAAAAATTCAATATTATGTTTTCAGTGAATAAGCATGAGTTAGGGTATCCATAACACATATTTGCTGTTTTTACAGTGAATGTCTGTATGTTTGTGACATTTTTTCATCTATGAAAACTCTTGCATGAAACTTCCAAAAATTTATAATTTCATTAGATTTTAGGTTAATGGGACAACCAGAGGTGGTATTTTATATGAAGTCCTTAACAATCTTGAATGGACAAATTTTGTAATGAAAAATTATATTAAAATATAATCCAAAACTTTTTAATTTTAGTATTTTAAGACTTTTATATCAATTAGAACAACTTATTAGATTTTGGCTAAAATTGATAAACTGGAAATTACACTTTGCTTGAAACTCTGAACAGGTGTTTGTAGAAAAATATGAAATAATCAGAAGTTCTCAAATTTAGTGTTTAAAGTATGTGTGCGATTGAGAACAATATTACATTTATAAGCATGTAATGTATTATTAGAATTATGCTAAATGTAAAAAGAATAAGATGATTGTGAAGGAAAGCTCTTGTTATGAAGCAGTGAAATGCATTTGCCTCAGTTCTCAATTTTATGTTCGTTTGACTTTTGTGTCAAATAAAGGAAGGAATAAGGAATATTTTGTGTCCACAAATAAAAAGATGTTGCTACCAAATGTTATAGTTAAATAACATAACAAGTAGAAATAATATAGTGAATATGAAACACATGGCAACAATTAGTACTTTTGAGAATTCTAAATATATGCTGCTTTTAAAAGTTTTGTGACTGTCATTGATTTGTGAATTTGAAGACTATATGACCAGAGGCTATACTACGATCGATGAAGTATTTTCCAGTCAAACTATGAAAACAGATGGTTGTCATTGTCGTTTGTGTGGGAGAATAGAGTGATAAAAAATGAGTAGTGCTTGCAATTCACATTGAGCCATAAACTTTATAAACAAATTTTATTTACAAAAGATCAAGTAGAAATGATGATTTAATTAATGCTCATTGCTCTTCCATCATTTTCATGTCTTTACTCAGATTAAGGCAATCATGCCCAGTCTAAAGATGGAATGATACCGCAGCTGTAGCATGGAGATAATTTGGAAATTGACAACCCTGATGGCTTTGCTGTAGCCTTTCCACCGGCTTTTGTGCACACATTTAAATCATGAGGGTTGCTAAATTCCATATTTATCAGTCTCTTAGCAAAAGGAAAAGTCATAAAATTTTTGAAGGGCAGTCGTTCCGTTCTTTTGCCAAGAAATCTGCTCTTTTGTTTTGCACAATTACTCATAAATATGTTTTCAGTCACAAGTTCTGTTGCTGGTAAGTATATGAATCTGCAGTCGAAAAGGGTGATAGAAAAGGGCACTTATTTATTATAGTGGCCTCCAACCATATTTGGCAATTTTAGATTTCCGTTAAGATCTTGGCTATAATTTTCATTAAGCTTGTGAAGCGCAAATAAAAAACATTAAAGTTTCATGCTGTGGCCATTTTTGCATACTTGTTTGTTAGGTAAATGACCTCTTTCTTGAAAAAAAAATTATATGGCATCTACCTCATTAATTGGTAAGTTAAAAACTGTTTACATCATATTCACAAAAAAAGCATATATTTTGAAATGAATAATGTAAGAATATTCAGCGATGCTAATATATGATCATCTGATGAGGGAATAAGAACATGCTGCCAGATTTTGGCTCAAATGCTCATCATTTATGAGAGAATCGTTCAGGATAAGCTCTCCACTAAGTTATAGAACAACACACTTAAATTTGTAGCATGATAAACAGATGGTGGAATATGTCTACTTCATAACTGATATTCCAGTTTAATATTAGAAATGCTTTGTGAAGTTCAAGCAAACATAGGCTGGTTCTTTAAAGCTCCTACATGTCTTCTAATTATAAAGCTAGAGACCTTTCTTTGCCTGAAATATTTCGATAGGTGTTGGACTTAAGAAATCCAAGAGCTAACCTAAGATGCCTAGTTCAAACCAAGAAAACATTTGCTAAGGATTACTTGCACAAACTTGGGTTCTTCTGAATTGATCAAAAGTTTCTTGTCTTAACTTTTTAGGGGGGATGTGTATGCCGCAAAACCCAACATTAATAAAGGATATTTTAAATAGCATATCCAGAGCTTAAATTCAGACAGAGTCCTGCTCTGGTACTCCTTATTTTTTTAAATGAAACTGTCGTTTCAGCTAGGTTTACTATTTAAATTTTTTAATTAATTAATTAACTGTATTGAATTTTTGTACAATTATTTTATTTATTTCTTTGAATTTTTTTAATTATTAATTTATTGTTTGTTTCCTTTTCTTGATGTTTTTCACTAGGCTTAGGCAGTTCTAATTTTAGAAGCTTATCTTTCACTTTGCTTGGTATCATGTCATACTCATCAGTAATACATGCCCATTAAGATATTGTATGTGGTGTTCACTCAGTAGTACCATGCACTCACATACACTTTGCAGGTTGTGTAACTCATGCCCTTTTTTTTTTTTTAAATTTTGACAACATATTTCTTCCAGTAAGCATAACTAGAAAGGTGGTTAGCAATTTTTCTTTTTTAATTTTTTCCCATGTAAATAATAGATAGCATAGATATGGAAATAAGTGATATCTCTGGTGAATTTGTAAATGGAAGCAAGAGAACCTCCTCAGACAATACAATGATTTTATTAATGCAAGCAACAGAACTGGTAATGAATGTATGAATATACCATGGAGGAAAAAAACTTTGAATCTGCTTCGGAGGAAGAAGATCATGAAGAAGAATGGCAACAAATAAGAGAAAAAAATCTACTAATAAATGAGTATTCAAATGAAGAGGAATTTTTTATGGTATGCAGCATCTGATTGGATATTCACTTGTGACCCACTGGTGGCGCACGCCTATTGATGGGAGCCTCATGTGACCCACCGGTGATGCACGCTGATGGGAGATTTAACTGTGACCCGCTCGTGCTGTGTGCCATTTGATGAGAGACTCGAACATGACTTACCGGTGATGCATACTGCCTGATGGGAGACTTGAGTTTGACTCATCAATGTGTTAATTCCTTGAATTTTCATTCAGAATGGAAGAAATTATCTCAAACTGGTAGCTGATATTGGTAATGCAATGGCAGGTTGCTTATTAATGAGAGAAGTTCAGGTTTGAGTTCTAACTAAAGCTCGTATCAGTACTTGTTTTTCACTGTAAAATATATTAAATTAATATATATTTTTTCTTTTTTAAATGTAGGGATACTGCTGGTCAGGAACGTTTCTACACCATCACCACATCCTACTACAGAGGAGCTATGGGTATCATGCTGGTATATGATATAACTAATCCCAAAAGTTTTGACAATATTGCAAAATGGTTGCGAAATATTGATGAGGTAAAAGTTTACTGTAATATTTTCTCGCTTTATAAAATGTTTTGTGCATCGTAATGTTTTTAAAGGAAACTTGAATAACTTCCTTTACAAAAACAGCATTTTAAACTTTTGCAATAAACAATACAATACAATACTTACTTACAACAAAACTTTTACAATATAATTTTAAAACTGAATATGTGAATACATTCTATATATAAACAAAAGTTTAGAAATTTCAGATAAGATGATGTATTATTAAAGATGTGCAGTATGCTATGAAATAATGATTATATATATCATAAAATACTAACTTAATTTCCAATAGCCCCTTAATTCTTCATTTTAATTTGGTTATTTCCCTTTTCTATCCTAAAAATACTAACTGCTTACTATAAATCTTTCTAAATTGAATCATTCAAAAATTAATTCTTCTTATGTAATTCTTACTTAATACTAATCAAGCAGACACTTAACCCTTTAACTGTGAAGTTATTTTGATGATTTGGGTACACAAATTGTAAAATTTTTTTATTGGAAAAATCAAATCTTTAGTACAAAATAAAATATACTTAAGTAGTTAAAAATTGATATTTTGAAGTACATGGGTAAAATTTTTAAAGTTTTGTAGCCACTGCATTTTGCTTGAGGCGGTTGCCACTCAACATGGCAGTTGTAAAGTTCACTTCTAGTGGAGCATTATTTTCTAAAAATGAAAAAAAAAAAAAAAAAAAAAAAAAAAAAAAAATTTCTAATAAATAAATAAATAAAAATGAATACCTATTAGTAGTTCAGTAATTCAGTCTTGTGTGGTACAACTGGAAACATTTTTCCAAGCACAAACCAACTCCACAATCACTACACCAGAATCGTGTTTCCTTCCTTATCTTTTTCCCCAATTTTATCCTTTATCGAACAACACACTTTGCACTGTCTTGCAGGCTCACGTTTCACAGGATTAGGAGGAATATGGGAAATAAAATGTCGTTCAGTAAGACGGGCAGGGTTATCTATTGTAAGTGGTCTGCCAACATTCTTTTGTCCAGAAGCTGCATTATCATATTTATCTAAAAGCTCTTCTACATCTTGGATTCGAAATTCTAAAAATGTAATATGTTTCCCAACTACATTTTTATAGAGCAAATACGAGTTCCTTGTCTAGTAAATGTAACTATTGTACAAGTACCTTGTCTAGTAAATGTAAAACTATCTTTTTACAATATTTTTTCTGATGTTTTCGGATTGTTAGATGAAAGGATATTTCCTGATCACAGCAATCTACACCACCCATAGTTAGACTGTAGTCAGAAACAATCTTTGCCTTGAGTATAACTTCATTTTTTTTATTTTTGAGGCTGACCATGGAAGTATCATGAATACTGCTCATCAAACATACATCCTTCATCTTCGGTTGAAAAATCTAAATCATCTATATAACGTTTCAAAGAACTGGACGCCATTTTACAACAAAAAGATCCCATGCACTTTGAACCAAAGAGCTTATAACCTCTAACTTTTGAAATCTTCAGTAAAGTGCTGTCATCTATTGAATTGAGTGCACATTAACATTTCCCGTGATACAGTCGGGTTTGACAAAGAGATGAAGCTGAAATAAACGTCTCCCGATATATATTCGCGTATAACAATACGATGCACTCAAAAAAAAAAAAAAAAAAAAAAAAATTACCCCGCGTAATACTCGGGCGTAACATTTTCGAACACCAGTGCTGTGCCCAAGATTATCTCGGACATGACAGTTAAAAGGTTAAATAGCAGTTCAGCTTGTCATAATATTAAAATCTGCAAACTCAAACCTAAAATTAGCCAGTAAGAAAAATGTTAAGCTCTAAAACTGAGTCAAACCTTCATTTAAAAACTATGTGTTTTACTCTTGCTTGCTGCTTTGTTAACATGTTACTGCTTATTTTTCTTCCATGAAATATATTAAAATAAGCATTTGAAAAGAATTGGAGTTGGTAATGTTCAAGAAAGCCACACAGATTACACAAATTTATTTGTGTTTGCATCAAAACTGCTGTGCAACAAATTAAACAGTTAATCTGCCATGATAACTGCTACTACCTTTATGCACCAAGCTCTTTAATATCATAACATGTAGCTATATCATCTGCAATCAAAAATATTTTTTAATTGTGTGTGTGTATGAGTTCACGATGGATCAAATGCACACAGAACTGGTGATAGCTTGATAAAATTTATTTTCCCCAAAGAAATACACTGCAGTTCTCCACAAAAGTACTCATATAGCTGTTTTCAGTGTGACAGAGCAGAGTCAGAAGTTACCATTTCAAACTACTGAGAATCTTAACTGTATATGCCTTCCAGCAATTTCGAAAAATGAAGATAGTGGAAATTTCTCAGCGGATGAGGGCAAACCTATATAAAATTGAAGAGAACATCAGTTCCCAGATTTTAGTTCAAAGTTGATTTTGAAGTATTAAGGGATCTCTATGACAGCTTTGCTTTTTAGATGTGCTTTGCAATGCCATTGCATTTAACATTTCTTATATGGCCAGATACAGTTATAATTACATAGAAATGAAACGTGCAGTTATACTTGGACCAAAATGTCACCAAATGGTCATCATGTGTGACAGCTTCTGACGATTAATCATCAAATTTAGTGACAAAAATTAATTGCCAAAACCATCGCCAGCTGATGAGATAGGCATTTGCTTCAATGTTAAATGGTCTTGCCTCTGTAGCCTTATTTTTCTGGCAAACCTTCACTCTTTTGAGGCCTTTCATGTTATAGAGTACAGAATTTAAAACTAGAATAGAAAGAATTGAAGATATGCCTGGTTTTACCATATCTAAAATTTATCATTTTGATAGTTTGAAAGTTTTGATGTTATAAGTTGTATGGATTTCATTAACTTTTGTTTTATATTTTAGCATGCCAATGAAGATGTAGAAAAAATGATCCTAGGAAATAAGTGTGACATGGAGGATAAAAGAATGATCAGTAAAGAGAGAGGAGAAGCTGTGAGTAATATGTAATTTCTGGCATTAACATATATTTTGAAAAACATTTTCTGCATTAATACCATTTTATAATGTTATACTGGTGATATTTAGAGAAATGCTATGGAGGCAAAATATATTATAATAGTTATTTTTATTTGTTATTTATTTATTTTTTGAGAGGACTTATAAACAAATCTTCTTTTTCTAAGAATGAGAGTGTCTGAACTTTGCACATATATAGGGACCTCAAAAATGAAAGGTCTAAGTAACTTTGTTATTTCAATAAATCAATTTTCAGCTATGAAGTCTTTTGCATCATGGTTGTAGTGTTCAGATAATCGAGGTCAAATCGCAGGCACCTATACATGAGATTGTGTTTAATTCAAGACACTGGAAAAAAAAGAATAAGGATAACACATATGGACTTTTCTAAAGGGGATTAATTTACTAATAACAGTTTAACTTATGTGAAAATAAATTTTTGATTATTTCTTCAATAAAATGCCAAGTAGTTCAAATTAAAGAAAATTACACAGTACAGAGTCTGAAATCCGGACGTCCATTATCCGAAATGACCTAAAATCCGGACCTCAAAACCACCAAAACTGTTTTTCTCATAGTCTTTATGCATGCGCATTTGATTTTCACCTCCGCGCATAATAAAACATCTGGAGAGTCCCGATTCTTAATTTCACTTCGACACTAACTAAAATACCTTGCCAATGCCAATGATTATAAGTTACGGAGTGCCTATGGTTCAAAACCATATACCTCCAAATCAGAAAAATATGTTATTAAAGAAACAATCATTTTCGCATAAATTTGTATGATCAGTAATTTGGCTCTGTTGCTGCGTATCTGCTTTGGCACACATCTCAAATCGAAACATTCCACATAGATACATTGTTGATCTGACGCCAACCTGGTGAATGATTAGTTATTATACTTTCTTTTCATCACCGCATGTTTATCAAATCTTGACCACTTGAGTAATGACTCAGGTAGCGATGCCTAAACAATTTTTTTATATTAATATTAAAAGGAGTATGGTAACCTTTTATGTTGACATTATGCTTGGCGATGATTACGGATTTAAGTTAAATGCGCTAAAAAATGTTGACGAGGAAAACTTTTTTTTCCATATGCTAAAAATAGATTTTTTTAATGATACTCATAGGCTAAAAGACTAAATTTAGTGCTATTTGAATTAAGAATAACTGATTTATTACTCGCATAAACCCAGAACCAGCGCTAGGGCTCGTATGGCTGCACTGCGTGGCAGAATTTAAGACCGACAGAGTCTGCATCAGGCGATAAGTATCTAGTGTCGGCCGTCAATAAAGCTTAAGTATATGGATGAAATTTAAAGGAACAGCTTGTCATTAGTCGCCAAGCTCATGATGCATAGCCAAATATGTACAGTGAAGGATATAGGTAAATTTGAAGACGATAGCAGAAGACCAGAAATTTTAAAGGTTTTCGGATATCGCAAAACAAAGGTGAAATTTTCTATTTAACGGATTTTGTAAAGAAATGTGAAGAAGCGGTAATAAACGAAGATGATATAAAAGAAGTTTTTCATTGTGATGACAATGCTTCTCAATTGGCAATTAATGAATGGCGAAATCTGTAGTATGATTCTAGATCTAGAAATTATCGCTATGGTTAGTGAAGAAAGTGACAGAGAAGTTTCTAAAAACGAGAAAATTTCGATTGACAAATTAGTCGGAATTCTCGAAATACAGTTTACAAGACTTCAACAATGTAACTAAACAAGAGATTATGTCTGTCTACAGAATTAAAGAGAAAGTATTAACACAAAAAACAAAACTTACTTGTATGTCACAATTAAAGAGAAATTTAACACAAAACGAAACACTTCATTGAACAATGTTTAATAAGGTAAATAAATATTAAGCTTTTTTTTTTTGTGTGTAAATTTTGATATCCTTTAGATCCTAAATACTTCATTATTTCATAAATCATAATTTCATATTTTTAACTTTATAATTTCTACATGTAATCTTACTAGATTTAAACTGATAATCTAATATCTGGAAAAATACCAAATCTGGAATCGCTGCGAATTTCGAACTTTGTATTGTATAATTTTTCCTAAAAATTCCAGTAAAAAGTGTGGTAGAATTCTTACATATTTATTGTGTAATTTTTCATTAAATTTTTTCCTCCTCCTTCCTAGAAAGAAATGGTCATTGCAGCTTAATATTTGGTAAATCAATGAATGTTTTATCCATACATTTAATGTTTTTAAAATTATCATCAATATGTCCAATCCATTAATGAGCAGTTTAGTTAGTCATTTTGCTTAAATCATTAGAATTTGTTGATTTATAAAATGTTTGATTTTATTATTAAACTGTTCATCATGTAATTCAGAAACATAGCTGCCTTTTACATTACAGTATAATTTCTGTGTGGTTTTTGTAGATAGTAAAATCGTCATACTGACGAGGTTATAATTCCATTGTATTGCAATACTGGCATGAGTTAAAACGTCAATCCGGTGTAGTATCATTTTATTTTGTTGCCAAACTGGCAAAGATGTTTAAATAATTATCTCCATTTGGTCAGAGTGGATTTCGTATTTGACAAGAGATATTTCTACTTTTTTTAATTTAAAAAGTGCATTTTATATTCTTTTTGATTTATTTATAGTGTGTTGTAATGTTATATATATTTCAAGTTAATATAACAGTTGTGCACTGCATATTATTGTTGTAAATTGTTTTATTGATGAATGCTTATGAGAAAACCGAGTAAGTATATTTAGTGTTTAAATATAAAAGTATTATCTAAAAGCTCTATAGTGACTGACTTTAACTCTATAGTGCAGCATAAAGTATATGCACTCTGATAATCTAACTCATAATCGCAATGATGTTTGTAGTTGTACTATGCGATTAAACGGGTGGTGTTTTTTTTTTTTTTTTTTTTTTTTTCCTTCTTTTTTTTAAATTTAATATAGATGTTTGTAAATTCATAGTTTAAGTAATTTTTCAAGCATACTTTTGAATGAACAAATTAAAAATAACGAAAATTTTATTGTTTGCGCCATGTAGGCCTAATGTACGCAGGCTATTTTTTCTTTTTTCAATCTTCAATGGGTATAAAGAAAAGATGGATGAATATACAAAAAAGATTTTATTACCAAAAGCAATGTACAATACAGGTTATTTCTCTACATAATTACCTGGACGATTGAGGCATTTGTCATATCTGTGAACAAGTTTTGCAATACTTTCTTCATAAAATATTCCCGCCAGTGATTGGAAGTGAGTTGTGATAGTTTCTTTGAGCTCCACGTCATTTGTATGTGCCCTGGAATACATTGACAGAATTTTCAGAAAAGGTTTCAACCTGTGTCAAAGATTCCAAAGTCAATATAACAAATTTTGCATATGCAAATGTTGCAGGAATGCAAAAATGTAAACTGTTTGTAATCAGAAGAAGTACCCAGTCTCGGGCAATTTAAACAAGCTATGAGTTTCCTCATCATATATCATTCAAATAACAGCATAGATGGCAAAAACATTAATGAATGATTGGTTTAAAAATAATTTCTTACCCGAGGCTGAGTAATACGAGGGCCATCCAGGAAGTAGATTACGTTTCCGTCTGTGTCCGCTAGGGGCGGGGCTAGCGCGGCCATCTTGGGGTCAGAGCGTTGCGCAGCTCAGTCTGCATCTAGCCCGTGCTAGTGAGAGGTTCGTGCTGGCTCCTTCAGATACTGTGACGTTTGAAATGTCTGCGTTAATTGAAAATCCCCGCGAGCTGCGAGTGCGCTCAGTAATAAGTTTCTGACTGCAAAAAAAAACTGTAAACCGATAGAAATCTATCGGCAGCTTCGTGAGTGTATGGGGACAACATTATCACTGAAGGTGGAGTGGTCAGTGGTCATAAGATTTCAAATGGCCGACCAATGTTCACGACGAAGATCGAAGTGGGAGACCCAGCATAGTGACCGCCGAACTTCTCGAAAAAGTCGATGCTAAAGTCCGTGAAAATCGAAATTCACAATACGGAACTTTCTTTGAGTTTCCACAAATTTCGCGAAGTTGTTGCACGAAATCATCAGCGAAAAGCTTGGTTACCACAAGTTTTGTGCAAGATGGATTCCAAAAAATTGACAGAGGACCACAAAAATCAGCGAATGGCTGCGCGTTGAACTTTTGGACGCTTACCATAAGGATGGTGACTCTTTACTCGATCGCATCGTTACTGGTGACGAAACATGGTGAAACATGTGAACTGTGAACGAAATTCAATCAATGGGGGGGGCGCACAAGTTTCTCCCCAAAACCCAAGAAATGCATGCAAACAATGTCGGCAAGGAAGATGATGGCGACTGTTTTTTGGGACAGAAAAGGTGTAATTTTGGTGGACTTCCTGGAAATAGCACTACAATAAACTCTCAAGTTTGCCAACTCTCCAAAACTCAGAAAGCAATTCAAAACAGCGCAGAGAATGTTGAGCTCTAAGATCTTGTGATTCACGACAACCCCCCCCCACACGGCAATGTCACTCGTAAAGTTCTTGAATCTTTAAGTGGGAGTTGTTTCCTCATCCGCCGTACAGTCCCCGACCTGGCACCGAGCGACTTCCACCTATTCCCACAATGAATAGTGGCTGGCTATGCAGCGTTTTGATGACGACCACAGCTGCAAGAAGAGGTAACGAAGTGGTTGAAGGGCAGGCGCCGAATTTTCGACGAGGAATTTCCAAGCTCGTACATCGCTACGATAAGTGCCTAATTTGTATGGTGACTATGTAGAAAGTAGTATTTGAGTGTGGCTTTCATCTGTATATAATAAAATTTGTTTCCTATACTTTGTTTATTTTTTTATTCCAAAACGTAATCTACTTTCTGGATAGCCCTCGTATTTAAAATCAATTTGTTTATCCATTGATGCAGAAGTTTCAAGTTTCCCTGATTCTGACAACTGTTTTTAGCTTTTGACATTATCTTTTACTAAAGCATCATTTAAAGTTGTAGTAAAAGATGTCTCTAGCTTATTCGTTTCTCTAAATTTTATGTCCATCATTCAGCGAAATGCAGGTATATTTGCTTTTTTTAAATCTCTACTGAATTTTCTGACAGTGGCATGGCTATCAAAAATTTTTTAAAATATTTTAAAACTGCCATTTGTACCATTACTAGGTCACTGGGGGATGTGCCTGCAGATATATTAAAAAAAAATTTTTTTTGGCATGGTTACAGCCAGCTACCATATTTCATGGTGATATGATAACTGCAAATTGGAAGGATTTCAAGTATCACAAGTGAAAGGGTAATTTTTCCAAGTAATGGAATTTGTGAAAAATTGTGAAGAGGTTGTAATAAATGAAGGTGATATAAGTTTTCATTTCAAATCACAATGCCCCAATCATCAGTCAACTAACAGACCATGAAATCTTTATAGTAGTTTTAAATCTGGAAAATATCTTTACTAATAACAAAACAAATGATAAAGAAGTTGTTGAGATTAGCAATTTTGATTGAGATTTTAATGGAAATTTTTGACATGACAATTACAGGACTTGAACAAGAAATTATGTATATCTGTAAAATTAAAGAGGAAGTATTAGCACCAAAAAAGTAGTAATAAAAGTACAAAATAAAAAAAGTACTAATAAAAAAGTAGTAATAAGTACAAAAAAAGGCTCACATTGAAAAAAAGGTTTTAATAAAATGAATGAACACTAAAGCTTTTTTCACAAATTTTGATCCTCTTAAGATCATAAATTATTCATTATTTCAAAAAACATTTTTAATATTTTAAATTTTATAATTTCTGTATATCATCTTACTTGATTAAACTTATTATCTAAATCTGTAGATTTTGAAATCGGGAATAGGGCGAAGTTCAAATGATCCAGATCTCAGTCTGCATTGTAGTGTAGTATTAAAGATTTGATTACTTATTTACTACTTCCACAATGCAGATATTATATATATATTAATAACTTTAACATTATCTTCATAATTGCATGTATTTCTTTTTTTAAAAAAATTAAATTCTTTTGTTCAAGTCTGTATTTTACTTTTATTTGATTCTAAAATTATTTTATTGATAGAAGTACAAGTATGCACCTACTTCAGAAAAGTGTACTTGTACTGAGAAGTGTATCTGTATTTCTTTGAAAAAAAAAATGAATAGTTCATTTTTAACTCAGAACTCAGTCTTTATTTATTTTGGTATGTAAATGTTCAACAAACTCTAATATAATATTAAATTATTCATTTATTTTGTATTTTCAGATTGCTCGAGAACATGGCATACGATTCTTAGAAACAAGTGCGAAAGCAAATATCAATATCGAGAAAGCCTTTAGGGAATTAGCAGAATCAATATTGAATAAGGTAAAATCTTGAAACTTGTTTATTGTAAATACTGTTGTTATATTAATTTATTTATCCTTTGACTTCTTAATTTAAGAGAAGATATAGTTGTATGGCCTACTTTTATTTCATGACAGGATTGAAGGTGTAAAACAAAATTGTATTGTTATCTGTGCAAATGTCTGCAAGATTTTCTTCACCATTATGTGATCTTATGCAGCAATGTTATCTTCAAATCATCTACAAAATTATCACATAAATATATCCTACAATGTATACATATATAATTTATTCGATAATTTTTTAGGAAAAACTGTGAAAGAAATTTTAAAACTCTTTTCTTTTCCACTGGCTCAAAATAATGCTATTGTCAACATTTGTAATAAAGGTAAATATTTTATGTGCCTGCTGCAGAAAAAAAATTTAATAATATTTTTCTTGACGAATCGGCTTGCATAATGGAGGACAAAGTTATACCCTCAGCCCATAAGATGCAGGCTGATTTTGGAAACATTTTGAAGTTTAAAAAAATACATCTTATGGGCTTGTAAATATGGTAGTACAGTCAAAGACCCAAAATCCGCCGACCTGAAATCCACCAAATCCTGAAATCTGCATTTCCTCTCAGAATATAAACATTCAGTTTATATGTTCAGGAAACCGCAACATTGAGTATGAAATATCAAAGAAAAAAAAAAATTACTGAAAAAAAAAAAAAAAAAAAAAAAAAAAAAAAAAAAAAGAAAAAAAAAAAAAAAAAAAAAAAAAGAAAAAAAAAAAAAAAAAAAAAAAAAAAAAAAAAAAAAAAAAAAAAAAAAAAAAAAAAAAAAAAAAAAAAAAAAAAAAAAAAAAAAAAAAAAAATAATAATATGTCAAAACAGGAATACCAAATTAGTGATATAAAAAAGTTTAAAATAAATAAGTTTCCCCCCCTCTAAACGGCATCAAGGTAAAAAAGCAGACGATTCACTCAACTCTTTGTTCAAATTCACAATTCACGTTGTTGTATTTTCTGAGCTTTGTTATTTCATTTCACGAGATTGTTTAGTGTTGTCTTTTTTTTATCTGGACATTTTGTGGATAAATTAAGAATATTTTAAATTTCAGCCCTTTTTAATACAATGACAGGTAAGAAATGCACTCGTGATTTTACTGCTTACAACGTTGAAAAACGTAAACACGTTGCATTGACGGTAACCCAAAAAGTGCAGATTCTGCAAAAGCAGAGCAGGTGCTACTCCTCGATTTATAGCAGAATGGTATGGAATTGCGACACGATTGTGCATGATATATGGAAGAAAAGCTGTTGAAATTTTGCAACAGTGGTTCTAACACAGAATCGGAAACCGGAAATCTTTACATGAGACAAAATCAGCAAACATCAATGCGTGTACATATTTTACGGTGAAACACCGAAATCTGGAGAATGTCGACTTTCACCGGTGAATGTCAACATTCACATAGTCGTTTGGTGTATGTATGTCCGAAATATTTCCCAAATACTCTTATTTCCAACTTACACCGGTAAATGTCGACATTCACTATGTACTAATGGTGAATGTTGAACATATAAGAAATTATATTTTCTTCTCCGTAATTCAGTCGCGAAAAAACGCACTTGAGACTTAACTCTTTCAAATCGAAAACGCCTGTTCATTCAGGCAATGGCAAACCGCCCCAACGCCTCGTTTATTTTCCACCTAGTGCTTTCCCCCTCCATGTTAGTGGCTCATTGGTTTCACGAGTTGTTAAGAGACGTGTCAATCATTCTTTTGAAGCGACTAAAGGAGACATATGGAAAGCTATTAACATTCGCAGGTGCAATCCGGCTCTAAGGTGAAACTGCATACAATGGATGAAACCGCTGAAAAACCCCCAAGAGAGAAACAGTCATTTCACTTAAGTAGGTTATTGTTAATGCTGTGGCTATCTACCAGGCAGGGGGAAGGAAAACTATTCCAAGACAAATTCGTAAACACGGGCATTTTCGATGTTTGATGAAAACAGATTTGGTTGCCTCTCGATGCGAAAGAGTTAAAACAAGAACATAAGAACTTAAAACACACAGTATATTCAAAATGAGAAAGAAAAATAATAGAAGTTAAAAACTTACTAAATTATGTGATTCAAATCTTATTTATTGCAACAACTTAAACTATTATGACACTCTGAATTGCACAGGAGGCCCTTGCTTTTACAACTGCATTTATTTGTGGAACACTTCCTTTTGCAATGACAGCATGTACATATACTTCTCTCTTTTCGACCTACACCAGAGCATATCTGTGATTGTCGACATACACCGCTGAGGGTTCGAATGTACAAGAATGTAATGCAACATTCGACCTTTCACCGACGTATTTGGTGAATGTTGACATTCTCCGGTGAAAGTTGACATTCTCCAATTTCGGTCTTTCACGGTAACACGTATAATACAATGAATAATATAATCAATTTATATATGTAATAATAATTTAATGCATATAATAAATTATTGCAATAATGTATATAATAATTTGATTAAACGTATTTAATATGCCTCATTCATTTTGCACTTTTAGTCTGAATATTATGCTAATCTTTTCTGCCCTGAAATCCGCAAAATCCAAAAATCCGCACAACCTCTGATCCCAAGCTTTGTGGATTTCTGGAATTCTACTGTATTTAATTCTATGTTATTGAACAAAGTGTGTGTGTGTTTTTAAAATTTATAATGTGTGTGTTTTTAAAGTTTATAATTTTATGTGATGATTTAAATAATATATAAATGTAAAATAAGCAATACGAAGTTAACATAGAGGAATGTATATTATATGATGGATTACAATAAAAAAGAATTTATTGTATGCCAGTAAACATGTATATACCAACCAGACAAAATTACAGTGATCAGTGACTGACGAAATTACAGTGATCATTTACTGAGACAGTACAGTGATCAGGAGAGTCTATTGTGGTACTGAACGGCCCAGATTCAAATCCCGGAGAAGGCGTGGTTATAATTATCGGTCCCTTCATACGAGGCAATGGTGCTCATCTATTAGATGCCTCCACAATAAAAGGCCTTAGAAGTAGCCAATGCTGAATAGGCAAGTGCCCACCATTGAATTAAAAAAAGAAATAAGCATGTATACATTTATCTTGTTTAGAACAATAACATGTCATCTCACTGAAATGTCAATGCATATCCTCTGTGATAAATGAGTGACATGCAAAAATATAGAAAACAAATTTCCACTCTATGTGTAGGTTAATAATTTGTTTGTTAGCATTATCCATAATTACGTACTTTAAAAAAATAAACAGTGTTGGGACATTATACCAATTCTTTCTTTTATTTTAATTTACATGCTTTATTTTGTGTAATTGCTGTTAGTTATTAGCTGTTAATGCAGTCCTAGTTAATAGTTTTATATTAGTTTCTAATATAGCTGCCCCTTTTTTAATTCTTAAGAAAAGTGTTAATATTTGTGAAATATAAAAGGCTTGGGCAAATTTAGTAACAGTAATTAAAAAAAGGTTCAGTTTTAGTTAAAATGTTCTGTTTTTAATTTACATCTCATAATATGCTTTTTTTTTATTGCTGTCAATTATTTCATATTAGCTTTTAATGTAGTCTTTTATTATTATTATTGATGTTGTTGTTGAGGGAAATGGTAATCGTTCTTTTAAAAAAAGTCTTGGACAAATAAAAAAAAAGATTGTTTTTAAAATAAATAATAATTTAAATAAATTTTCACTTTTCAAATGGTTGCCACCAAATGTTAGAGTCCTGCATTATATTTGAAGAAATTAAATAATGAAGAATCTGCATATAAATGTAATGTATGTATGTTTCTCTCATTGCGATAAAACAACGGTGCATAGAGCCACCGAATTTTGAATGACGTAATCCTACTGTGAATATGGGCTGGGCACGTGGAAGCCCAAATTTGGAATTTGTTTTATTATCGATTTCATATTTTGTAAAACTTTAATGAATTTTTTAGTAACAAACTCAGCGATTTGAAAGTGAGCAATGGCAACAATCTACCGGGGGGGGACCTTTTTACCTTTAGCGTGTGGAATTGTGTATCAGAAATGCTAAAGATAGGGCTGATTTTAAAATTATTTTGCGACATTGCTGTTGAACTGAAATTTGTGGTTTAAGTGCGAAGAACATGATATTTAATAAATAAAGGTAACACACAAAACATTAAAAAAAAGCCCCTTTGGACGTAATTTAAAATCTGAAACCTTTCAGATTTTATTTATTTATTTTGTAATTTTTATTTTTGTTGTTTGTTTGTTTAATATATTTATGTAATATCCCTGTAATCTTAAACTTTTAGCAAATGGCTGGTAAGGAACAAACAGATTATCCAGACAAAGTACGTGTTACAACGCAAGATATAAGGGGTATAAGAAAATGCTGCTAGGGTATGTATTTTATTTTGTTTGTTTAATACCTTTATGTTTATTGTATTTTTTATTGCAGGTTTTCTGTATTTCACAAAAGTAAATTTAGTTAATGAAATTTTTGTGAATGTATCTTTTCTGATCACTGTGACATATCATACAATGAAGTCTTAATATAATTTTATCAAAATACTTGTTTTACGGATTGAATTTAATTTCTTTTAAATTATGGTATTGATCTCTTTTGTATGGAAAGGCATCCCCCCCAAAAAATTGTCTGCAGGTTTTTTAATTTATTTATTTTTGGCTTTATTAAAAGCATTATTCATTTTGCTGTGTATGTTTAATCTTTATCCTACATTTTTCAATAAATCGAAGTTATGAGTAATTTTATTAGTTCTTTGTAAAATTTGCTTTCCTGAGACAGATAGGTTTGAGGACTTTATCATAATTTATTCCTCTTCCCCTCTATAATGAGAAGCACCAATTTGTTAAAGGCCCAAAAAATTTTGGATATAATTTTGATAATTTTCAAAACATATTTGTCATTTTGAAGGATTGGAAAAAAGGGGGAGGAAATACCGTGGTAAATTTTGTTAAGCTCTTTTGCCAGTGCTACCAAAATTTGTCAGACTACCAAAATTGTATTGCAAGTATTTTAAGACTGTAACATTTGCCTGACTTTTTAATAAAAAAAAAAAAAAAAAAAAAAAAAGTCAAAGAGGTGAGTAATGCTTTTACCCTCATCATGTACAGAAATTAGAAATTTATCTAACCATATACTTGGTGAATAAGAGAAATAGGTAAACCATCTGCAGTGGTTATGGTCACTCATTTCGTTTATTCGTGACCACTAACTTTTATTATTCTTTCTGTGGTTTCGTCGTTCAAAATGTCTGTTACTTAGGCTTTCCATTTGTTCAGTAGAATTTCGTAATGCCACTAGCTTACTTTCACTTCTATAATAATTAAGTCACTTTATAAAAGTGCAAGCAGTTGCTATTTTGTACAATGTAACAATTTTTTTATTATTTTTTATACTTTAGTAATACAATGCTTAATCAAAGCAGATTTTTTTTAAACCAATGTTGAACATATGGTGATGCTGGTATAATCACATATTTTGGCATGCTATATCTTCACTGCAAAATTTTTACACTTTTTTAATTTAGCAAGTTTTATTATTATTTATTTACTCCTTCCCCTTCCTTTATTTGCATTTAACAAATCTTGTGGGGCAGAGAAATTTCTGTTATTTGTTTTCATTTGAAGTTCATTGATTTGTGACAACCTGCATATGGTGATTTATTTATCATATTTTGGCCTAAATATTCTCAGCTTTTGAAAACTACACCATCTTTTAGATGCTATCAAACATTTAAAAGATATATTAATACAATTTTAATTTTCTTCTAACTTTTACATAGTATTCTGCTTTACCTCAGGCTATGATACTTAGGTCATTTAATAATCTTTGTGTGTGTCAAAACTAATATTTATGAGAGTCTTAACTTTTTTCTATGAAACTCTTTTTTGGATGGGTGACTTAATTTCAAAACATTTATTAGTCTTCCATTTTATATTATTAAGTATTTGTTCTGAGTGATATAATTTTTTGTAATTCAGTAGCATTCATTAGAGTAAACCAATGGCCATTTTGCTGGTTCTGCACTCGGAACGAAAGCCAATCCATGGGATAAAATTGCAAGACTGCTAGTTTTTCATTATATCTGTCGGTCTCCCTGCAATTCTCCAAATCTCATGATATTTAATGTTTCTGGATTTAGATTATCACTTTCAAATGCAGTTATATATAAATTGCTGATACTAATTTTGAAAAAAAAAAAAGGAAATGCTATAAAAAAAAGTTGATTGAAAAATGCTTAAAAAAAGCAAAGGTACATAGGCATTTCTAAATGAAAATATTGAGAAAATTCAGTTTTTTCAGGTGATTTTTACTTTAATTTTTTAATTAATTTTTTATTGTATCTGAATTGCTTTAATGCATTATAGATATTTGTAGATTTTTTATGAAGATTTAACTAATGTTTAACAAGTAAATGTTTGTATTTAATTATGCTAAATACCAAATTGCATTTGTAAATTATAAGTTTAATTAAAGTTAAACTATAAATTTAATTATAATATTGCAAACTATAATCCAAATTATTATATTTTCAAATTACAAGTTAGTATTCTATTGGCTACATGCATGTTGTTTATTTTCATAGTGTTTGGAATCATTTTCATAAATAAAACCATCTTCTATTTGTTTGAGTGAGTTTTTCATTAATGTGTTAAGGAAATTATAGACTTGAATGCCAGAAAAACTAATGACATTTAAAATGATGAATTAATTATATTTTACATTAAAATCATTTTGCAATTCATTTAATAACCCAAATTACATTATAAAGTAATTTTAAAGTCAATTTTTTTCAATGATATCCTTTTGAAGACCATTGTTATGTAGTGCAAGAACCTCCCAGTTTTTGCATTTCAAGGGTGGTAGCTATACATTCCAGTTGTGTCATGTAATATCTCTCTCTTGTTGAAGTTTACTACTCTTGAAAGAGGTAAATTACAACAGAATGCAGAGTATTATCGGTGTTTTAATATAATACTGATTTATGTGCATTTCTTACATAAGCACCATCCTGTTGGATAACCTAAATATTGTACACTTAATTTTTTTAATAGTTTATTTGTTGCAGCAGGTACTTATATCATTTCACTTAGCTTATTGTATTGAAAATATGTTGTTGATAATTCAGATAATGAAAGCATATGTGTATTTTGAGTGAATGAATGAATCTGTTACATGGCATATATACTTATATGAATTATCAACATAACAGATATGGCATATTATATGGTTAATATCTTATATGATCTTAAGTTAATGGAATATCACCATACAGTATATTTTTTGCGTGCGTGGGGGTTCGTAATCGATTGAATGCACATGTCAATAAGTTAATAAAATTTATTATTATTCCTATAAATAAAACAAAATGCTGAAATTTTCTCAGAGATATTCATACAAAATCACAATATCTTGCAGTAGTTATATTTTGAAGTACTAAAATATAAATAGAACTCAGTTCAAAAACACAGAGGGAGTTATATTTGACAGAAAGCTCATTTTCCTTCCGCATATCTTAAATCCAAAGAAAAAATGTGCTAAAGCTCTCAGCATACTGAAAGTCCTGGCCATTACTTCATGGGGAGCAGAACGTTGTTCTATGCTCCGCATTTATAGAGCTTTAATCCATTCTAAACTTGACTATGGCTGTGTTATCTATGGATTAGCAAGACTTTCTGTGCGACTGAAATTGGATCCAGTCCACCATCAAGGGTTACGGATTTGCTGTGAGGCTTTCAGAACATCTCCAGTTCAAAGTTTATATGTAATCTGTTTTGAACCATCTCTGAAATTTAGACGTTCATTGATATTCGTTAAAAAGTAATGTCATAAGCCGAACATCCTGTCCGACTCATGACATCTGATCACTACTGATGTATCTACCAAGCACGTCCTTAATGTATCTCAGCTTTTGATTGTCGCATTCACTCACTGATTGAAAAATTCAACCTAAAAGATCTGCATCCCAAAAACTTTAATTTTTTCATTATTGCTCCCTGGCAAGAAGTGAATATTCACATACTTAACATTTTTGGAAAACTTAAGAAGAGTAATACCAATGATGTCCAATATCAACAAATTTTCCTAGAGCATAGAAGCAGTCATTCTAACTATAAAGCAGTTTTTACCGACAGTGCAAAGAATCATGATCATGTTGGGGCAGCTTTTGTTTGCGATAAAGAAATCAAGAGTAGTAAACTTCATAAGGCTGCATCTGTCTTTACTGCAGAAACTTTTGCCATTTTGAATTCCTTAACCTTTATTTCTAAGCAGAATAGCAGACAGTTCATCATATACTCTGACTCTCTGAGTGGTCTTGATTCAATAAATACAAATACTGGCCACCCTTTGGTCTTATAAATTTTAAAGGCACACCTCCGTTTGAGAAACTCAGGTATTGCGTACTGCTGGGTGCCTGGACATGGTGACATCAAAGGCAATGAACTCACCAACGTCGCAGCAAAATCTGCTGATATTACCTCTGAAAATGATGTCTCTTTTACATACATACGGAAGTACATCAGAACAAAGATCTTGTCCAGGTGGCAAGAACTCTGGGAATGCCAGATACTGAACAAATTAAGGGAGGTAAAATCCAATTTGGAGTATTGTTAGTCGAGAAGGAATCAAAAGGAGGATGTCGTGCTGACTCGCCTACAAATTGGTCACTGCAGACTGACACATCAGAATCTCTTGAAAGGACACAATGAGCTTATTTGTGGCACTTGCAACGTTTCCATTTCAGTCAATCACATTTTAACCTGCTGTCCTGCTCTTAGTCAGAAACGTAAATATCATTTTAACTCTACGAATGTTAACTTAACAAATCTCATTGGAAGAAACCCTCATATCAACCTCATAAGATTTTTAAAAGACATCTCTTTTTACTATATGATTTGAAGTTTTTTCTTTTATCCTGCTCTATCTGTTTCTAGAGCATTTCTCAAAGTTGTTTCTCTGTACCTTCATCAGCATTACAGGTTCATTTCAATAATTCATCTGCTACAGTGTGCTTGTGCACTATGGATTTTATTCACCATTCGTTTGGCACATAATAACCTTGAAGGTTTTGTGACATTAAAAGTCAGCCAACCAACCAAAAACACAGAGAAAGCTAATCCGATCTCACTGTAAATTCACTACAATAGCTACATAGCACTAAGTAAACAACTGAATTGAGATTTTTTTTCTTCGCCTTTTATAAGCTTTTTAATCCTGCATGAGAACATTCTGGTATTTTCTCAATTTTTCTGGATAGCAAAAGAGTACAGTTACGAGATATCAATTTATTAAAATGTTAAATGCACGTGCTCCTGTATTTTAATTTTTAAAGCATAGCTTTCTCTTCAATTAAGTCTCGTGCTGCATTGCAAGGGAATATAAAACAACTTACTCAGAATTTACAAATTCTGTTAAAAAATAGCTAAATACAAATTTCATAATAATATCAAGTCATATTTAGTATTGGTTTGTCTGTGAAGAAATATGATGTTTAGTTCAGATAAACCAATGTAACCTTCCAAAGTATGCAAGCATCAAATTTTGTCCGTTTTTTAAGTGGCTCTTTCATCTGAATGATATGTTAAATTGCTTCTGTTAATCTAGTTCAAAACATTTCTGAGTATTATAGAAAAATAATATAACAATAATCATTTATTGATAGTCAATTTTACATCTGAATTATCTCTTATATTTATTTCTACTTTACATTTTTATCTCGATAATCAGCATCTTTTAGACCTAGATTATGTTTATTTAAATATCCTATATAAATATGACTGAAATTGGTGAGATTAGTTTTAGTTTAATGCAGTAGATCTTTGTTAAATTGAACTGAATAGCAAAATGTTGAATTTGCAATTAATGTTAACTTTAGTGAATTGTTGATTAATTAAATTTTTCCTTTGGTCTGTAAGTGGAGAGCATTAAGAGGAGCTGGAAATGTGATTTGAAGCTCTCAGTATAGACTTTCTAAAATAAATATTTCTATAAGAAGTGTGGGTGCTTCATCTTATAGAAATATTTCTCTTCAATGCTTCTTTCAAAATGCTCTTCTGTACCGGCCTTGGTGCATTTCAGGCTTAAGAAAGGCAATCTGTTGTTATATGTTATAAACATCCAAAAAAAAAAAAAAAAAAAAAAAAAGACAATTGGAAATGATAAATTGGCATTTTAATATGTATACAGCATAAATTATTTAATATATATATATATATATAAAGAAAAAAGGAATTAAGTATAAATTTGTATTTGTTATTGTATTTAATGCAGATTTGTCAGCATTTTATTTAAAATAACATAATTCAACAGAACTTATTGTATTTATTATGATTATATAAACCATTTGATTAAAATAACACCATAAGCATGCCAAACAGTTCTATACATTAAACCTTTTCTGAACCAAAATTATTTGCTTTGCCACATACATCTGCCCTACAAATGACTGTCACGGCTGGGAATCCCACACATGCATCACTGAGAAGGAGCTTATCATAGTTTTAGGATTCTGACCTTCAGTTTGATCACATTCTGCCTGACTTTGGTAATTTGCTCATCAGTGGGGGAAGAGGGAAAGCATAATATAAACAAACAAGAGCCAAGCTCTTAAACTCATGTCCACTTTGTGCTGCTTTTTATTTTGGAAAGCCTTGACTCTAGTTTATTATAGCCAGAAAGCCTTGTAAGTCAGAGGAAGGATATACTGGCATGGTAAATGATCCAGTTAGTGACAGATGGATGGGAGTGATGATTCATTTCTATGGAAAATCTTACTTCTTGTAGTTTTTAATTAATTTTAAAGTTTATTAATGTATTTTATCAGTTGGAACTTCAGAATAGTTTGAATAGTGCTTCCAAAAATTATTTCTCAAAGTAAGCAATTTTTTTTTAAATATATTTTCATGTAAAGTAAAGGGAAAAGGTTATTAAATGCTAATTTTAACATATATGATAGCTTAAATAATAATCTAAAATGGTACCAAATTTATGACATTAAGACTTTTTTGTGTGTGATTCCTCCATGCCCCTAAAGTTTGGCTCAGTCATGCAAAACCCTATCCTGTGAGAGGATTCCTTTCGGTATCTCCGTCTGGAGAGAGCATCTTAACCCCTTAACTGCCGCGGGCGTATATATACGCCTTGCTCAGCCGATGCATTAACTGCCCCAGGCGTATATATACGTCCTTCCAAACTGCTATCATTTGCTTTGCGCTGCTACACTTAAAATTATTCGCAAAGTTAACGCATCGGCTGCGCATCTGGGTGCATCTGGGGCAGTTAACGCATCGGCTGAGCAAGGCGTATATATACGCCCGCGGCAGTTAAGGGGTTAAACAAAGGCACACTATCTGAAAAGGGTTAAACTTGCCAGAAAATTGTATTTATTATTTTATTTAATGTAACACTTATATCTATCTATCTGTATCTATGTGACTCAAACCTCGAATTGAGCTATTTACCATCTGTTGCAATTTTTTGTACATATCATGTATTTTTATATGTTTAAATTTTACAAAAGTCCTTTTAAAATTATTTGTAAGTTAAAATTTATTAATTTTTTCTCACCCCTTTTTGTTTTTGAAATCATCTCGACTAGTAATTTTAACATTTAGTTTTAATGAGATTGATTTTACTACTTTGTTATTGTTTCTAGTTATTGAATGATCTTACATTTTTGCTAAGGAACTATAGAATCAAATGTATTTTTTAGCATAAGCTTTTAAACGTTCCTCTTACTTCTTAAATTTTTAAATTTAAAAAAAATTTGCAGCTCAATGCGCAAAATTCTTGACCACTAAGGTCTCTCTAATTCATGTTGTCTTGCTACTTTTATATATATATTGAGTCTGGGAAAGAATTCGTAGCGTTTTTTGGAGTAGAATTCAACTGGTTTTCTCAAATTGGGAAATGGAATTTATTTAAACCAAATATGCTCCGTTATTATTGACAATGTTTCACTGTCTTTTGGTTAGAGCCATGATGTCAATGGTGAAGAACTTCTGTGGTTTCTGGTTAAAAACTGAGGCATACGGTTTTCACAGGCCTCTAATGAAACCAGCCTAATTCCATAGAGAAAGTTCTGCAGAGATCGGAACAAGTGATTGTCTGATGGTACTATATCTGGACTATACAGTGGGTGCGTCATAACTTCCCAACCAACTTCGCACAATTTTTGCCGAATAATTAAAGAAGTGTGTAGTCAGGCATTGTCATGATGGAAGACACCTTTCCTATTTTAAAATTTGGGTCGTTTTCTTTCAATTGCTGAGTGGTTCACAGTAGAGCTGAGAATTAGTTGTCTGATCAACTGTAAAAAGCTCATGGTGCACGATTCCCTTCGAGTTCCACCACACATATAGCAGCACCATATTCAGCATCAGTCCTGCCTTCGCAACAGCTTGTGATAGCTCTCCATCTTTTATCTCCATGATCTTTATACTTGTGATTGTCATATGTGATCTATTTTTCATTCACGGTTATGGCACGTTTAAGAAATGGCTGGAATACATTGCGTTTCAGCAGTGCATCGCAAATCTTAATTGGATTTAGCATGTTTTTGCACTCAAATCATGCGGAACCCAGGCATCGAGCTCTCTCTCCCTCTTTCTTTTTTTTTTTTTTAAAGCCAGTTTTGTGTAAATAGTCCAAAACAATTTTGAGATCAATGACCAGCTCCATACCAGTGTTGAGAATGCTTAAGATACCTTCACCGTACAGAGCACAAATTTTTTACAAGTGTATGCAGCAATCTTCTGTTTGTCATAACAATATTGCACTGTTTTCCTTACTTTTCTACATTGTCAAATGCATACAACTTTCCACTTACTGTTGCCCATTTAATGTTTATGTACTCGCAGTAATGCTAAAAAAATCACCTTATAATGAGCATTTAGTGGTGTCACTGCGATCTGTGTTTCCTGAATTATTTGGCATTGACGCCATCTGTGGAGAAAAACACCACAAACTTTCTCCCAGAACCAATACATATATATAAACATAACCGGAAAATTCATTTTTTACGGACACTTTCTGGTGACCAAAGCTCAGCAGTTGCTGCTAATAGTGCCTCAAACTTCAACTATAGCTACTGTAATATTGATGGAGGATTGGAAAAAGTAAGTATAATGAGTATTTTACAATTAAAGAACTGCTATATATTGACACAATGCAGTTGTGAAAGCCTGTTAGATCCTTAACCATTTGTTTCTCACGCATGCATAGATCGGTAACCTTTTTTTACCATGTCTACTATAGAAGACAAGTACCAAAATTTCAATTCCATTCATAATTTATGTTTAAAAAAAAGTAGCATATTGGCATTATTTTTGCAACAATTTTTATGTTTATTAAGCAATAATATATTAAAATAGTGGCATTGGCCAGAACATAACTGAAAACATATATGAGCATGACACAAATCTCAAGTTGATAACTTACTGTGTCGTAAAGTGTAGCACCTGTCATACTGTGACCAATAATCACATGTACTTCAGCACTTTTTTAGTCCATTGCTTCTGTTTTTGAAGGCTACATTATCTTAAACTATGCACTAAATAAAAAGAGTAAAGCATTTGTTTTAATGGTCAGTTGCTTTAATTGTTCTGTGTTTTTTTTTTTTTTTTTTTATGCTGAACTAGATATTATTTAAAAAATTACTTTAGAAACTGGGTAAAGAATGAGCTAACTATTGCACATGAATTTAAATGCAATTCTATTTTGTACTTTAAAGTAATAAAGAGATAATTTTAATCTTTATTTATTTTTTTAGAAACCTAGATCACCTTGCCTTTTTTCATCCATACACCTGCTGTCTGGAAATCTGCTTGCAGTACTCCATTCAAATTAAAACATTTTATATTCGCCTGGCTGGACCTGTTTGCCTTAGAGGCCATTCAACCTCGGACTCTGTGCATTAATTAGTCTGCCAGGTGCCACAGTGCCGCTAGTGATCTGAGAGGCACACGTCCCAAAGTCTGACTATTTGCCATTTTTCTTCTATTTCAAAAGATATTTAAAAATGTAAGAAGACACTGCTTTTACTAGCTTGAATATAAAACTCAACAACAACAACATAAAATTTTGTTTTCCATTGTCCTTTTATGTAATAGGTGTCTTTATTTGAAAGAAGAATGCCAGCTTAATATTTAAAAAGGCATTTTTTATTGCATGTTAAGCAATTATGTTCAAACTGAAAATAATCTTTATTACAAATTAGAAGCTATGAAGATTTTTTAGAAGCATTTTGTATAATTTTTTATCTACATGCTTACCTTCGCAGGAGCATGAATGGTGTGTAATAAATGCATGACAGTACCAAAATTTAAATAAATTTTCTAATTTGCAGCCATCCATTTTCTGGAAATTTCTCTTTGAATTGTATTTCTGTATAATTTAAAAGTTTTTAAAAATGCACATATATGTAAATAATTATTATTGAAGGTGATGGTCCAAGGAATAATGTAAATGCAGGCATATCTGTTGGTGTGACAAATGAAATTTTGCGCTTAAATCTTGTAGTTACTTTAAAAACTGTATAGATGGAAATTGCGATGATGAAAGCATTTTTGTGTGAATGTCTGCTGCTGATGATTTATCTGATCAAAGTAGTAAAGGGGGGGTGAGAAAACTGATTTTTAATGTGATCAACATGAATTACATATTGTACAGTGAGAATTTTTAATGTGGATATAATGTAAATGGAATTTATTTTGACAGTGAGTTTTTTAAATATTTTATTTCTTTATATTCAATTATAACTTCTTACCAGATAAATTAGGATTTTTCAATTTCATATGTATAATTTAATTTTGTGTGGTCAGATTGGTGACAGTTACCAATTTATTTGGTGTATTTTGTAAGATATTAAGTACTGAAAGTTCCTTTAATTTGCTCAGTTTTATACAATTTTTTAAAGCTTCTGCATGACTTTGAAAGTATAACTCTGTTTTCTTAATATACTAACATCCTTGTGTACGTAAAGTTAATAATAGTAGTATTTTCTGTTCAAAATAATGTGTAGGAATGCATTTCCCCTCTTTTTTTTTTTTTAATTTATTTAATTTTTCATTTAGAATTAAGCTTTTGTTACACAGAAAAAAAGTCCAGTTAACTATATATTAGATCTGATATTTGCATTTATCTGTTAAAAGATAAAAAAGTGAGGAAGCTGCTTATGTCTCTGTAATTTTTTGTACTATACAACTTTAGATAATTAATGGTGCACCATCAAAAATTGTGGCCTGTATTTTACCATTTCTGTGATCAGATGCAATATATATCTTTTATGCAATGCTTTTTTAAGCTCAGATGATTTAAATTCCTCTCTTCTGTTTTTCAGTTATTAAGTTCATTTCAGATTTTTCAGTTATTAAGCATCTTGGTTGAAGTTTTCCTGTAATTGTTTTTATTTCTGTAGTTATGTCACATTTTCTGCTTTAAAAGAATGTTTCTTTTGCACAGTTTTGTCATCATATGTATTTACATTCATTTTCAATGTGTTTGTAAGTTTTTTATTTGATAATCTGTTTTTGTTTTTTTTTTTTAGTTCTTCCTTTGCAGTGGGTTTGATTTCATTAGACATAACTAAAACTGTTTTTGCTCATAGATTTGTCTTTCATATACTTCAATGAATTTTTAGTTTATTTATTTTAGTATTTCAAAATTTTTTGCAAAGTCATATAGATCTGCATTGTGATTTCATTGATAGTTACAGTTACTTAGTTTTTGCAGTTTATTTTTGTGCTGTGCATATCAATGTATTTTGTTAAAAACCTGGAAGAACATATGATGTAATATGTATTTACCAGGTTCAGTAATAATTATGTGAAAAGATAAATGAATAGTTATGTAATGTGTAGATTCTTGCCAACATACTCTGCTTTTTTATTTGAAACATATTAAGTGAGAAGTGTTGCTGAAAGTCTTACAAATCATCATTCATGTCAGTGTTGTAACATAGATGCTGACCTATAAATTATGTGTCTTCATCAAGGCTTCCTTTATATTGATAGCATTATATTTTAATATAACTTATTTGGTTCCATACAGTAGAATAATATGTGAAGAGTTGAAGAGCATTGCATATTAAAAAGTACCGTACAGTTTCATAACTTTTTATCGAAAGGTTAAATTCTGTGCCATGTAATTGCTGCTGTTAATTAAATGTTTTATTCTCATCTTTGCTTAATAAAATGAAATTTGTAGTATTTATTTCACATTTATTTCTACAATCAGTGTAAAATTATAACATTAAAAGAAAAATTGGAAGAACTAAATTTTCTGTTAGATTTAAAATGTGAAATTTCAGGTTTAGTTCATTTAATTTTTGCTTAACTAACTAAGCTTCCATATATTGAGATTAATGAAGGTCTGGCATTGGTTTATTAATTTTTTATTTTCTGATGTACACATCACAGGTTAACCATTTGATACTCATATAATAAAGTATTAAATCTTGTGCAATTATGTATAAAAAAAGTACAGATTTCTCAATTTAGAAAAATTACTTTTGTTTTGCCATTAATCAAATATTGTGAAATTGTTCTTGCTGCTGAGCAATGAGATTTCAAAAGACTGAGCAATGATGGTATGAAGTGTACAGAATTTTTATACTGCTGGCATATGTTTAAAGCAGGTTGTTGAAATTCTTTAGCTTATTCGTTCAAAGATTTATAATAAATTTTTCTGTAAAACCTCTTGTCAAAATTTAATTATATTAGTCTGCTTTTGGTAATGCTTTATAGAGGCCTGATGTGAAAATGAAAATAGAATGACAACAAAAATAAACTAGGGGAATCTTTTGGTGATATCCATCTGAATCAAAACAATAGCATTAGGACATTGCAAGATAATGTATTTTGTTATAGAATTTATTATTCATTGTTATTTGTTATAGAAATATCTGCAAGTGTTAATTACAAGTGTCTTAAAAGCATATAATTTTTGCACATCTCAAATTGAAATACTGCTATAACATAAATATCAGAATGATTTCAAATTCCACAGAATAATTCGCAAATAATGGGGAAAAAATAGAAGAAAAAAAAATCAGTTCAAATCATCTATGGATTTGATGGAAGAAATCATAAAATTGAAGTACTTACTGAACTATTTAATATATCTAGACTAGTTATTCTAGCACATGAATTAACATTTAGTTCATGTTAAGTAAGAGTGCACATTCAGTTTGCTACAAAAAGTCAGTTTTAGCAGGTGCTGTATATTTCAGAGTGAAACAGTAAATCGTTTACAAGTATTAGAATTTAGCCCTTGTTATTGTTCTAAATATTTATCAAGCAACATATTGTTAAACTTCCTTTTTTATATAGTAATTATTAATGCAGTTATAACATAACATTTTAGTGTTCTTAAAATAAAAGGTAGCTTTTGAATACTTTGTAGTGATTAATAAAAAATCAACTAATTTGGATTTCTACATCCTATAGCAATTAAAAATTGTTTCTCATGGGTGTGCGAAATAAAAGGTTGATGAAACTCTTTAAGAATTGTCCAACACAGGTCCCTTTTCTAAGGAGCAAACTCATTTCGTGAAGTTGGATGTGTAAGCAAGCTGTTTACATCAGTTTAAGGCTGAATTCCTTTATGTAATTTTATATTAAGGAGTTTCCTTTGCATTTAAGCAAGTGAATGTTTATATAAACAAGCAGTATATTTCCTCATCTCAATTATCCGATCAAAGTGGTTTTCAATTCTCATTCAAGCAAGTGAATGTTTTTATAAACAAGCGATATATTCCCTCATCTCAATATTACATTTGTTAAACCTTCAATAATTTATAAAAATTCTATACTTAATATTGTGCTATAATGAATATTAAGTTTATAATTTCATTGTTTAGCTGTTTTTAAAGAAATTAAAAAGCTGTGGAAAAAATTTACAATTTTAGTGAAAGGCATCTGTGCAGAAATTTACTTTAAAATTAAATCTTAAAAAGTTTATAAAAAGAACAAAAATTTACATTAAAATTTAAAGTAAATAATAATAAAACATTCTTTTTTGACACTTTCATCATATAGGCTGATACACAATGACCCAATTGTTGATTATATATGCTATTCAAAATTTTACTACAAGGAAATCTGCGTATATTAGAAACAGTTTTGAGTTTGAAAGCTGTGCAGAAATAAGCTTTCACAGTAGTTGTAAAAAGTATTTTTTTATTTATTTAGTTAAAATATTTGCATATTATGTAGACGATTGTGAGAAACCGAATATCCTATTGCCATTATGATGATGAAATCAGTCACTGTAAAATAGAATTAAATCCTAACATTTAAAATATTGCCACAACAAAAAAATGTAATGTTATGTACAATTTCTGATTGTGAGAATAATTAACAAAGCATTCTACAAAATTAAATTTAATTTGTAATAAGTAAGTGGATGTTGGTGTGGTTGCACACTGTAATTATCTTTTTTAATTTTGGTTATTTATAGTGTTCTATTAATTTATAAACCTGCAAGTTGGAGAGTTTGATTTATTTTTGCTGCTGCATGTAATTAGCTAATTCAGTTTCAGTCTCTCTTTCTGTTTGACTTGGACCATTAGTGTAGGATAACAAAGTGTTAGATGCGCTATCAACACAATAAATAGAGCTATCGAAATAGTAAATAATGCATAGCACCAACCAGAGGTTTCTATCTAGTAAATAATTATTACCATGAGAGGTCATAATGTTGATAGAAAGTTATTTGGTTATAAAGACTAAATGGTGATTTAGAAAAGCTCGATGGTAAAGTTAAGTTTATCAGAATTATGACTAAAAATATCAGGCAGGACATTTGAAAATAAATTTGATATTAATCTGTGCAGTCTGAAATGATAGCATAGTCTAAAGTTAAAATCTAAAATTAAAAAAGATTTTGAATGAATCGATGACATTCAAAGAATAAAGGTTTTAAACATTGTTAAGAACGTAGGAGTGTTCACTACATCAAGTGCACTATATTTACTGAAAATGATATTTTTTTTTGGGGGGGGGAATGCTTAAGAACGTAGGAGTGTTCACCACATCAAGTGCACCGTATTTACTGAAAATGAGATTTTTTTTGGGGGGAATGCTTTAAAATTTAGTATGATCTTTTAAACAACTATTTTAATAAATGAAACTGCAGAAGGAGTCAATTACTTTATTACATAGGTAGTTGGAATGTGACAAATTCCAGTACTTTGCAATACATGAGGGTCTATTTAGAAATTTTAATCTGTCAATTAGTTATCCATATGCTATTATAAGTATAATGATTGCATCTCAAATCCAGAGTCAAGATCAGAAAAATAATCACAGTTTATTTATGTATTTATTTATTGAATTTATCATGTTCACCTGATTTTTCTTAACACTGGAATAAAGTTTTAGCCTTGCTTTTTCTTTGAGTCATTTGGAAAATGGTTGATCTCTTAATTTGTCTTAATGGGAGACTTTTGTCAATTATTAGATTTCATGGAATGTTTTTTCCCAATTTAGTAATATTTCCAGTTAAAGAGAGTCTTCTTAATTCTTTTTAAAATATGCAGTATCTTCAATTAGTTTTATCTCTAGACGTTTGAGAGTTATATAAACTTTTAGAATATTCTGGATGTCTTTTAAAGATGCTTTAGAGGTTGTCCATCTAAAACACTTTTCAGCACTATTAGCTTTTGTGTTTTCATATTTGAGGATAGTATGAGAATCAGCACATCTACGACTGTGTGTTGCCTGACTATGCCCATATCGTTGACATAAAGATTCTTCTTGTAGGACTAAGTATGCTTTTTTACGTGTAATAGATGTTTGCATTGGTATGTGCTCTTTTTTCATCATTTTTATGCGTGTCATATCATTGCCATTATGAAATGTATTCCATTGTTAGAATTTCGAAATAGGAATGTTCTGTGAATTTTTTTGTATCTTCATTTCTGGTGTCTTTAAATAATTTCCTAAGTGCCAGTTTAATTAGATTTTTCTGACATTGTGTTAGTTAAATGGTATTTCTGGTTGGTTGGTTGGTTGGTGTCGGGGGGCTGTAACTCCTAGAGGACGTGTTCCCAAGGTGACGGATAGGTGATGCCTTCTTCAGGTGGTAGAAGGGAAATGAAATACCCTTCGTGGACCAACAAGCAGAAGTCCAACCTCTTGAGGCAATGGCAGTCATTTTTCCATGAGAGGTCATTTTAAGAAAGTGATATTTTTAATTGATAGAATACTGTGACTGTAGTTGAATCATTGGGATCAAAATAATCTTATTTCAGAGAATATGCATAGTCTTACAGATTCTTTTTTCTTAGTTTTCTTCCATTGTGGCAGGCTTGTATCAGACCAGTCTGGTAAAAGTATGAGAGGAAGGAATTGCTGGTGGAGCTTTATTGTTATCTTAGCTAGGTTTTTGATCGAGAAATTATTCTATATTGCTGCTCTTCATTGATGATTTGGTGGACTCATTATTTAAAGGGTCATCAATGTTGCTATAAATATAGTTTGAAAATTCTGTGCTAGCAGACAGTGTTCTAAGGCATGAAATACCATGAATTATTCCAGTTTTAATAAAAGAAGGCAAGTTAAAACTGCTTTGCAGTTGATTGAAAACCAAATATAAATTAAAAGCTGAAATGTTAGAATTTTGTTACAACTTCTAAAGAAAAAAAAAGAGTCAACTTTAATTATCAATCAACTTATCAAGCTGAACATCCCTCATATAATGAAATCATATACAGTCAAAAGTCGTTAATCCGGACTCGTCGGGACTTCGGCGATTCCGGATTATAGATCATCAGTTTAAATTGCGTAAGATGGCATGCAGAAATTCTAAAATTAAAAATATGAAACCGTAATTTATGAAATAAAAAAAATTATGATATAAAGGGTATCAAAATTTACAAAAAAAAGCTTAATATTTATTTGTTTACTTTATTAAACATTTCTTTCAATGTAAGTTGTTTAAGTTGCTTCGTTTTATGTGATAATACTTTCTCTTTAATTCTATAAACATACATAATTTTTTTGTTCGCTTACAAGTTCCGCTGTTCAAGTCCGTTAATTGCTATGCCGAGTAATACCGAATAACTTGTCATCGAAATTTTTTTCGTTTTCACTAACCTCTCTGTCACATTCTTCATGTCTTTATCCATTTTTTGCAGCAATTCCACTTTTTGTTTGATGGACATTGAAACATACTTTCGTTTTTCTTCGATCCTTTGGGAGCTCCAGAATCAAAAATTCTATTTGACATAATCGAAAGTTCAAGTTTACTTTTATAGTATTGCTCTTACAGTCTGCAAAAAATAATAAGCCGGATCCAATTCGAAAATTAAGGAACAACGCAATCATCAACATTAACTGAAATAGATAATTTTAGCTTACACCGTCCGTTATACATAAAACGCGCACGCGAAACGTATTCTGCGCTCGCGCACCACGGAAATGCGCATCGTAAGAGGTCTTACGCGCACGCGTAAACGCCTGTGCGCATGTGTCAACGCGGCGCATGCGCAGAAACATTTTAGCTTTGAGGTCCGGATTATAGATCATTCCGAATTATGGGTGTCCGAATTAACGACTTTTGACTGTATAATATCTATTTTGAAATGCTATTTTAATAAATTATACATTTGAACATTCACAATTTAATGAAGTTCATTATCATAAGTTTTTGAACTACATTCTGATAAATCATTTTAGCAGAATATACACTG